CCCCCCCCCCTGCAGGGCCACACTTAAGTAAACAACAATCTTAAGTTGTACTGGTTTACCTGAGAAGGGATACAACGTACGTTGTGAATCACTAGTGTAACCGTGAACAGTTAAGGTTAATTTGGCCTGTTTGCATTCACGTACACTGACATTTACCTTCATTCCCATTCTTTTGCGATCATCGTGTTCAGGTTCTGTAGGGAGAAAGCATTGATAAGAAGCCATTACAACTTACATGTACAGTCATTTCGATACAAAGTCATTTCAATACAAACTGAAGTCGATTTGATATAACCTCTGTGAGACACTCAAAACAGTATTTGACCACAATTCCAAACACCTTGTTCATCAAAAATACTCTGCTACCTGTTGTATTAACTCCCTTCTCTGAGTTTGGAAATATGGCCAAATGCTTTTTTCCATGTTTGACATTATTACATAAAAAGATATTTGCATCATATTCTCACCTGCAGCCCATTTAAGGAATGTGCACACATCTTTAGCCAACTGACTAACAGTAGCAGGAGTACCTAGAATCAAACACAGATACAGCATTTGTCAAAGAAGGTCAACAGTCTTGCTTCAGTTTGCAACTTACTCAGAGTGCCTTGAATCAAGACATTTGTTTTTTGAATCACAAATCCTGATAGAAGCACCAAATTTGATACTATAGCTTCACTTAGTCACCAGCCTACACAAATTCATGTTTTCGTTCTAATTTTCTAGTACTTGAGGCTGACAAAAATCAGTAATCATGAGTTGCTCTGCACCCAAGCCTGTTAATAGCTTTTACAGAAACTTGAATACCATAAAGATGTAACTACATCAGATTTGATTGAAAGGCAAAGGGAAACTGAATTGAAGAGAGAAAGTACGAGGAGAAGTCAGTAATGCTGTTCAGTTGTCAGGGCTCAGACAGTATTGACACTTTTTCAGCCAGACAGTGAAAGTCTACAGTCTTACCATCCTCATATTCAATGATCTCGTTGTACAATGCTGGTGCCATGGCTATTGACTGCCCAGGGAAGTACGGATTGAAGTACAAGTCTTCCTTAACCTCTACTCCAGCAGGAGGATCCATGTATCCTGTAAGGATGGCAAACACATAGTCCTGGCAGAAATTAAATGCACCAGTTGTCAGTAACA